ACTCCGTTTCGCGAGGCTCTCCCTTAATGGAGACGCAATCGCACCAATCCTCCGAAGGAACGCCATCGAACGAGGGCCAATAACCCCTGAAGTCTCCACTGCCACAGGAGTAAAATACTAATAAGATTTCATCTAAGAAATTTAAATAATTAAGAACTCACGAGTGATCTACTCTTCTGGACGCCTAGCCATGGAGGAAAACGAGTTGGTCGCCCAGCAACCACTTACATTGACGTGTTATGACACAGCATGCCTCCCTAATGACCTTCCGAGATAAAAAAAATTGTCACAATTACTGTTTGAAAAGTAAAACATGAAGGGCAGCAGAAGCAGCATCAGTCAAAATATGACAGGGAACAGCAGCAGCAGCAGCAGCAGCAGTCAAAATATGACAGGGAGTAGCAGCAGCAGCAGTCAAAATATGAAGGGCAGCAGGAGCAGTATCAGTCAAAATATGACAGGGAGTAGCAGCAGCAGCAGTCAAAACATGAAGGGCAGCAGGAGCAGTATCAGTCAAAATATGACAGGGAGTAGCAGCAGCAGTCAAAACATGAAGGGCAGCAGAAGCAGCATCGGTCAAAATATGACAGGGAGCAGCAGCAGAAACAGCATCAGTCAAAATATGACAGGGAGTAGCAGCAGCAGCAGTCAAAACATGAAAGGCAGCAGAAGCAGCATCAGTCAAAATATGACAGGGAGCAGCAGCAGCAGCAGTCAAAACATGAAGGGCAGCAGAAGCAGCATCAGTCAAAATATGACAGGGAAGAGCAGCAGCAGCAGCAGCAGTCAAAACATGAAGGGCAGCAGGAGCAGTATCAGTCAAAATATGACGGGAACAGCAGCAGCAGCAGCAGTCAGAACATGAAGGTCAGCAGAAGCAGCATCAGTCAAAATATGACAGGGAGCAGCAGCATCAGTCAAAACATGAAGGGCAGCAGGAGTAGTATCAGTCAAAATATGACAGGGAACAGCAGCAGCAGTCAGAACAAGAAGGTCAGAAGCAGCATCAGTCAAAATATGACAGGAGCAGCAGCAGCAGCAGTCAAAACATGAAGGGCAGCAGAAGCAGCATCAGTCAAAATATGACAGGGAGTAGCAGAAGCAGCAGTCAAACATGAAAGGCAAGAAGCAGCATCAGTCAAAATATGACAGGGAGCAGCAGCAGCAGCAACAAAACATGACGGGCAGCAGAAGCAGCATCAGTCAAAATATGACAGGGAGCAACAGCAGCAGCAGTCAAAACATGAAAGGCAGCAGAAGCAGTATCAGTCAAAAATATGACAGGGAGCAGCAGCAGCAGTCAAAACATGAAAGGCAGCAGAAGCAGCATCAGTCAAAATATGACAGGGAGCAGCAGCAGCAGTCAAAACATGAAGGGCAGCAGAAGCAGCATCAGTCAAAATATGACAGGGAAGAGCAGCAGCAGCAGCAGCAGTCAGAACATGAAGGTCAGCAGAAGCAGCATCAGTCAAAATATGACAGGGAACAGCAGCAGCAGCAGCAGTCAGAACATGAAGGTCAGCAGAAGCAGCATCAGTCAAAATATGACAGGGAGCAGCAGCAGCATCAGTCAAAACATGAAGGGCAGCAGGAGTAGTATCAGTCAAAATATGACAGGGAACAGCAGCAGCAGTCAGAACAAGAAGGTCAGCAGAAGCAGCATCAGTCAAAATATGACAGGGAGCAGCAGCAGCAGCAGTCAAAACATGAAGGGCAGCAGAAGCAGCATCAGTCAAAATATGACAGGGAGTAGCAGAAGCAGCAGTCAAAACATGAAAGGCAGCAGAAGCAGCATCAGTCAAAATATGACAGGGAGCAGCAGCAGCAGCAGTCAAAACATGACGGGCAGCAGAAGCAGCATCAGTCAAAATATGACAGGGAGCAACAGCAGCAGCAGTCAAAACATGAAAGGCAGCAGAAGCAGTATCAGTCAAAATATGACAGGGAGTAGCAGCAGCAGCAGTCAAAACATGAAAGGCAGCAGAAGCAGCATCAGTCAAAATATGACAGGGAGCAGCAGCAGCAGCAGTCAAAACATGAAGGGCAGCAGAAGCAGCATCAGTCAAAATATGACAGGGAAGAGCAGCAGCAGCAGCAGTCAGAACATGAAGGTCAGCAGAAGCAGCATCAGTCAAAATATGACAGGGAGCAGCATCAGCATCAGTCAAAACATGAAGGGCAGCAGGAGCAGTATCAGTCAAAATATGACAGGGAACAGCAGCAGCAGCAGCAGTCAGAACAAGAAGGTCAGCAGAAGTAGCATCAGTCAAAATATGACAGGGAGCTGCAGCAGCAGCAGTCAAAAGATGAAAGGCAGCAGAAGCAGCATCAGTCAAAATATGACAGGGAGTAGCAGCAGCAGTCAAAACATGAAGGGCAGCAGAAGCAGTATCAGTCAAAATATGACAGGGAGTAGCAGCAGCAGTCAAAACATGAAGGGCAGCAGAAGCAGCATCGGTCAAAATATGACAGGGAGCAGCAGCAGAAGCAGCATCAGTCAAAATATGACAGGGAGTAGCAGCAGCAGCAGTCAAAACATGAAGGACAGCAGAAGCAGCATCAGTCAAAATATGACAGGGAGCAGCAGCAGCAGCAGTCAAAACATGAAGGGCAGCAGAAGATGCATCAGTGAAAATATGACAGGGAGCAGCAGCAGCAGCAGCAGTCAAAACATGAAGGGCAGCAGAAGCAGCATCAGTCAAAATATGACAGGGAGCAGCAGCAGAAGCAGTCAAAACATGAAGGGCAGCAGAAGCAGCATCAGTCAAAATATGACAGGGAACAGCAGCAGCAGCAGTCAAAATATGAAGGGCAGCAGGAGCAGTAAAAGTCAAAATATGACAGGGAGTAGCAGCAGCAGCAGTCAAAACATGAAGGGCAGCAGAAGCAGCATCAGTCAAAATATGACAGGGAGCAGCAGCAGAAGCAGCATCAGTCAAATATGACAGGGAGTAGCAGCAGCAGCAGTCAAAACATGAAGGGCAGCAGGAGCAGCATCGGTCAAAATATGACAGGGAGCAGCAGAAGCAGTCAAAACATGAAGGGCAGCAGAACCAGCATCAGTCAAAATATGACAGGGAGTAGCAGCAGCAGCAGTCAAAATATGAAGGGCAGCAGGAGCAGTATCAGTCAAAATATGACAGGGAGTAGCAGCAGCAGCAGTCAAAAACATGAAGGGCAGCAGAAGCAGCATCGGTCAAAATATGACAGGAGCAGCAGCAGAAGCAGTCATCAGTCAAAATATGACAGGGAGTAGCAGCAGCAGCAGTCAAAACATGAAAGGCAGCAGAAGCAGCATCAGCCAAATATGACAGGGAGTAGCAGCAGCAGTCAAAACATGAAAGGCAGCAGAAGCAGCATCAGTCAAAATATGACGTGGAGCAGCAGCAGCAGCAGTCAAAACATGAAGGGCAGCAGAAGCAGCATCAGTCAAAACATGAAGGGCAGCAGGAGCAGTATCAATCAAAATATGACAGGGAACAGCAGCAGCAGCAGTCAGAACATGAAGGTCAGCAGAAGCAGCATCAGTTAAAATATGACAGGGAACAGCAGCAGCAGCAGCAGTCAGAACATGAAGGTCAGCAGAAGCAGCATCAGTCAAAATATGAGAGGGAGCAGCAGCAGCAGTCAAAACATGACAGGCAGCAGGAGCAGTATCAGTCAAAATATGACAGGGAGCAGCAGCAGCAGTCAAAACATGAAGGGCAGCAGAAGCAGCATCGGTCAAAATATGACAGGGAGCAGCAGCAGAAGCAGCATCAGTCAAAATATGACAGGGAGTAGCAGCAGAAGCAGCATCAGTCAAAATATGACAGGGAGTAGCAGCAGCAGCAGTCAAAACATGAAAGGCAGCAGAAGCAGCATCAGTCAAAATATGACAGGGAGCAGCAGCAGCAGCAGTCAAAACATGAAGGGCAGCAGAAGCAGCATCAGTCAAAACATGAAGGGCAGCAGGAGCAGTATCAGTCAAAATATGACAGGGAACAGCAGCAGCAGCAGCAGTCAGAACATGAAGGTCAGCAGAAGCAGCATCAGTCAAAATATGACAGGGAACAGCAGCAGCATCAGCAGTCAGAACATGAAGGTCAGCAGAAGCAGCATCAATCAAAATATGAGAGGGTCGCAGCAGCAGCAGCAGTCAAAACATGAAAGGCAGCAGAAGCAGCATCAGTCAAAATATGACAGGGAGTAGCAGCAGCAGCAGCTGTCAAAACATGAAGGACAGCAGAAGCAGCATCAGTCAAAATATGACAGGGAGCAGCAGCAGCAGCAGTCAAAACATGAAGGGCAGCAGGAGCAGCATCAGTCAAAATATGACAGGAAACAGCAGCAGCAGTCAGAACATGAAGGTCAGCAGAAGCAGCATCAGTCAAAATATGACAGGGAGTAGCAGCAGCAGCAGTCAAAACATGAAGGGCAGCAGGAGCAGTATCAGTCAAAATATGACAGGGAGTAGCAGCAGCAGTCAAAACATGAAGGGCAGCAGAAGCAGCATAGGTCAAAATATGACAGGGAGCAGCAGCAGAAGCAGCATCAGTCAAAATATGACAGGGAGTAGCAGCAGCAGCAGTCAAATCATGAAGGACAGCAGAAGCAGCATCGGTCAAAATATGACAGGGAGCAGCAGCAGCAGCAGTCAAAACATGAAGGGCAGCAGAAGCAGCATCAGTCAAAATATGACAGGGAGCAGCAGCAGCAGCAGCAGTCAAAACATGAAGGGCAGCAGAAGCAGCATCAGTCAAAATATGACGGGGAGCAGCGGCAGCAGCAGTCAAAACATGAAGGGCAGCAGAAGCAGCACCAGTCAAAATATGACAGGGAACAGCAGCAGCAGTCAGTCAGAACATGAAGGTCAGCAGAAGCAGCATCAGTCAAAATATGACAGGGAGCAGCAGCAGCACCAGTCAAAACATGAAGGGCAGCAGGAGCAGTATCAAAAATATGACAGGGAGTAGCAGCAGTCAAAACATGAAGGGCAGCAGAAGCAGCATCGGTCAAAAATGACAGGGAGCAGCAGCAGTAGCAGCATCAGTCAAAATATGACAGGGCAGCAGCAGCAGCAGTCAAAACATGAAGGGCAGCAGAAGCAGCATCAGTCAAAATATGACAGGGAACAGCAGCAGCAGCAACAGTCAGAACATGAAGGTCAGCAGAAGCAGCATCAGTCAAAATATGACAGGGAGCAGCAGCAGCAGCAGTCAAAACATGAAGGGCAGCAGAAGCAGCATCAGTCAAAATATGATAGGGAGCAGGTTTTAGCGGTTTTAGCAAGTTAGGTTTAATGCTCCAAATTCATTCCATTTCCCTGCAGCAATGGTCTAGTGGATTAAGTGTTGCCGCGTGAATTTGTTTACATAATGGTTGTGAGTTACATCCCTGAGTCGTGTAATGTGTACTTGGACTCAGTGGAAACGGGCGAGCAATAAGCAGTACTAAAATAAGAACGAGACGATATCCCTAGACATGGGCAGTGGAACGAGAACAGTCTACTTCCGTAGATTAAATAAACGGTTCAGTTCAGAATTCCCTGTAGGTTACCCAGATCAATATACACTTGATGTAGGCCTGACGGTCCAACGGCTGAAGCAATAGCCTGAATATAAATAGTGCAAATGTTTTTACAGTTACTTACAAATAATAAAATTTCAATTTCAAATTGAGCGTCTCTATATCTTTAAATTTTCGATGCAGACTATAATCATTGTAGAATAGATATAAAACCATTATATCATCGTTATAAAATAATTATAGACTAGATATACAATCATTATATTGTCATTATTATTAAAAATGTATAAAAAACCATATATCATCATTATAAAATAATATAATTATTATAGATATTTTTTTTTATGTTTAACATCCTTTTTAAAGATACAAGTATTTTAGTAGATGCTCTGTTTATAATAAACAGTATTACGCTGACGTGCCTTAACCGACTCGGCCACAAAGGAGCGTTCGGTTGGCAAGGTCGAATTTACGATTTATAAACTTCAATCTTCCATGAATCTCGTACATTCATAACTGCTCATGGCGTATCAAATGTAAACAAATGACGTCATACATTAAGAAATGGACAAAGTCCGACAATTTATTAAAGACATTTAAATGTCTTTAATAAATTGTCTGGCGTCATTTGTTTAAGCTAAATGACGGTTCCGTATAGGATGCAGGTTCGAATCCTGTCAAAGGACGAATATTTTCTATGAAAATTTCTCGGGCATTCAGGCCGGTAAATGTTATTTAATACTGTTTATTATAAACAGAGCATTTACTAAAATACTTGTATCTATAAAAAGAATGTTAAACATAAAAAAATGTCTTTAATAAATTGTCGGACTTTATCCATTTCTTAATGTATAATTATTATAGTATCATTATTGAATAGATATAAAATTATTATAGAATATATATAAGATTACAACGTGTGTTTTCTGTGTGTAATCATTTCAAAGCGCAAGGAAAATGAATTTAATTCTGTGTTAATTTTGTCGAATGATGCGTTATGATTAATTACATTATTTTTCATTGCTCTCATCTTTGTTGTTAGTATCAAAAAGTGTGTAAACTGCTCTCGAGTAGCTTGTAACACATTGTTTATCATCTCTCAGTTGCATCTCTGTCTTTGGGCAGAGTGTGTTCAGGATCAGCTCCCTCAAAGGACAGAGTCGCAACTGAGGAAAATTATACTGAGAGATGCCCAGCCCTGGGGAACAGCTGCCCGAGGCCACGCCTACTCCTTGCACCAGAGTGAGATCGGTGCTCGCACCGAGGCCAGCGCAACTGACGGTTGAGGGCAATTTTTATTCCTGGCCCGGGCGTACCCGTCCGGGTCCCAACTACCTTGTGTCACAACTCGTCTTAGTGGGGAGACAGAGTTAATACATAGTATCACAACGTTTCGGCCATTGTTCCGTCCACCATTTTTCAGTTGTGGGTCGATCCGCGTAACCTTAAGAAAATCTTTGCCTTTGTTTTTTTAAATCTACGTGAGTAGATTATTCTCATTCTGTTATACATGCCAAGGGATATCTCGCCCAAGGCACAATAGGATTAAGGCGTTTGTTCATGAATTTGGAGATAAAGTAATTCAAGAGTTCAATCCCTGAGTCAGGCAGTACAGACTCAATGGAAACGGGGTGAGCAGTAACTGGGCACTACTAAATAACATGATATTCCTCGGCCTGGACAATGAAACATGAAGAATCTAGTCCAGTAGATGAAATATAGGATTCAATTCAAAATTCCCTGATTGGTTGATATTTTGCAACGAATCAAAAACTGTCTATAGTTATTTCTTTTGTTTATAATTAAAGAATACTCATTTGCATTTATTTATTTAAAAAGAAAACCAGTGTTTAGAACCATGTGCTACTTATAAGCAAAATATGTTGCACTGACCTCTACGATAATATTTTTGATGACGCAGTAGAAATAATATATATATATATATATATATATATATATATATATATATATATAGATGTTCACTGTAGGCCTCCGTGTTCAGTCTGAGGACCACACCAACTAATTCGGGATTTCTTTTCTTTCTTTTCAGAATCACCAGAGTGAGTTTTCCGAGTTTTTTCGTACTCATGATTAGACTCATCCAACTTTTTACGAATCCTCTGCACTGTCCTCAGATTGACACCCAAACTCTTTGAAATGTTCGTATTGGATCTTTCAGGGAGAATGCCAAGCAGTACAGCTTCCCGTTTCCAAATTTCTGGCAGAGTATTATGGTCCAGGTTAGGACCAAGGAAGAACAACACGAACACAAGAGTAGAAATAACAAAGGTATATTACACGAAATAACAATACAAGATGTGGAAGCTGTTAGTATGACTGTCAGTCTGGTTTGGAGTGAACTACTATCGGCTCAACTCGATTCGTCCCTCTCTCTTGAGAGGCGTAGCATACATAGTGTTAGGAAGTGTTCATTCTGTAGTTATAGGTAAGGACCGCTGACACCCCCCTCCCAAGTTTTTACCTCGCAGTGGTCTTTAATATTTTTTCCTCTTCGGATTAATCATCAAAGGCTCTGTAAATTTTCTTTTTCTGCTTGATTTCCGAGGTTCTGAAATTACTTGAGACCTTTGCATATTGAATGTGTCAAATATTGTGTCCATTACTTCCTCCTCTTCCTGAGGTAGACCGTTAGAATCCTCTCACAGCCTCTTTCTGATCTGATTTAAGTGCCTTTTATGCGAGAACTTCGGACCCTGAATTATGTAAATCACGTTCTCGATTCGTTTCTCTATTGTACCTTGCTCCCAATAGGATGTGTTGTTTTTGAACACAGAGTGAATTGCGTCATGGTGATCTTTTTCTCGCAGACGGTGCCCAACTGACTCTACTATATTATGCAGTCGACAAAATCACAAAAGAAACGACGCGCATGCTCAAAATTAAAATATATATAATGCCTCCTGTAATACATATACACACATACACATTAGAGGATGTTATAAATCAACGCAAAATAACTGTTGTTTTTAATAATATTTGGCTTAAAGAACATTTGCTGCCTAAATCCACAGAATATGAAATCGCATATACATTTCATGGTTCTAGATTATTTTCTTCTTAGGCTGATAACTTAAGATCAACTCGTATTAGTCTCCCTTGTGACTGAAGCAAAGGCGTATTTCCCACTGGTGTCAATACTTAGTGTTTGATCCCAGACAAAAATAAAATACTCCCAGTTTGAGGCATGAGACTACCCGGCTTCTCTAATCTCATTCCTTCATTTATCTTTGTACCTTACGGTGTAAAAATTAATAAATATAAAGATGCGTCCTTGTATGCCATTGAAGAAATATCAACAGAAGAAATACAGGAATCATAGTTTGTGAAAAAAAAAAAAAAAGAATACGAAAAAATAGAAAATGAAGGAAAAGAATGATGACAAGAGATAAAATAAAGCATTAAAGAGATTGAGAAAGAAAGTTTTTCAAAAGTTGTAGCTGATGCCAGCACATAAAGGAGTAAATATGTCACCCCTGGTGCATCAGCACAGCAACTCGAAAGCAGATCTCGTAAGACGCGAGAATATAAAACATCATACTTTTATCAGATTTTCTTTTTTCTTCATTTGCATTTTTATTTTATTATCCCTTTTATGTGCCATTGCGTCATTTTTCTCTAATGTTTTTATTTTTATATTTTTCACTCATTCTCTTCATTTTATTCCCAGTGTTGTGTCATATTTACTAAATGTCTTGTTTTTATTTTTGATCATTTTACAGGACTAATCTTTTTCGTCTTTTATTGCTCCTTTTTTTTCTTTTATATATGTTCCACGTTCTTCTTTATTTGAACAATAACATTTTCTTTCTTTCTAAGATTCGATATTCATTTGTTGTTTAAATTTTTTCTCGCTTTTTCTTTCTTAGTTTCTTTCTTTTTTTTAAGAATGCGTTTATATGCATTTTGCTTACCTTTTCTTTTTCTTTGATTTTTCTTTCTTATAGGTTTGCATTCATACTTTATGCTTTTCTTGCTTTAATTTTCTTTCTCCTCTTCCTTCATTTCTTCTTTCTTTCTAATAATGATTGCACTCTTATACTTTCTTCCATTGTGGCTTAAGTTTTCGTTCTTTCCTTCTTTTGTTTGTTCGTTCGTTCGATCGTTCGTTCTTTCGTTTGTTCTTTCTTTCTTTCTTTCTTTCGTTTGTTCTTTCTTTCTTTCTTTCTTTCTTTTGTTTGTTCGTTCTTTCTTTCATTCATTTTTCACTCTTTTTTTCTTTCTTTCGTTTGTTTTTTCTTTCGTTCTTTCAGTGGTTATTTCTTTCGTTCTTTCTTTCTTACATTCTTTCTTTCTTTCGTTCGTTTGTTCTTTCTTTCTTTCGTTCGTTTGTTCTTTCTTTTATTTGTTCTTTCTTTCGTTTGTTCTTTCTTTCGTTTGTTCTTTCTTTTTTTCTTTTGTTTGTTCGTTCTTTCTTTCATTCATTTTCCGCTCTTTTTCTTTCGTTTGTTTTATCTTTTGTTCTTTTAGTGGGTCCGTTCTTTCGTTTTTTCTTTCTTACATTCTTTCGTTCGTTTGTTATTTCTTTTATTTGTTCGTTTTTTTGTTCGTTCTTTTTTTCTTTCTTTCGTTTCTTCGTTCGTTCTTTCTGATATGATTTCCCTCTTTTATTTTTTTTTTATTTCTTTGTTGCTTTATTTCTTCTGTAGTTTATTGCGTACGTTTCACCAGTTTGCAAAGTTTTACTTGTTAGGTTGACACCTTAACGATAGTTTTTCTTCCAATATCGGTCACCTGGAACTTACAGATGCATCCCACTTTTTTCTTTGCCTGTTTCGCCTTTTCCCCTTTTCTTTCTGCAATTTGTACCAGCAAACAGATTACTAACGGGTCGATGCTTTTGCTAGGTTCGAATGCAACTCACAGATGTCAGATGCATTACTAACTAATCTGACTGTTCCACTTTTTACGAAGATTAATGAATATCTGGCCACAAACACAAAGGGTCCTCAGACAAACAGAATCGTTATTTGTTTAATAACAATCATTATCTTTAAAGTTAATGCAACACTTTAATAATAAAAAGAAAAATATGTCTGTGCTTAAATAGCGCCTTATTTTTACGAATTAAAATATCTTCTGCAGCGAAACAGCTTCGTATAAAATATGAGCCGGGGAGGCACATTTACTTTAGCAGAACTCTCGATCGATAGATATTAAGTTCACTGTTCCAAGAAAAAAAAAAAAAAAAGCAAGGACGTTAAACACGTGTACCTACTAAATATAACGTTTAGAGTAATAAAAAATGACCGGGTACTTTTGTAAAAAAAAATAAATATAGCAGTTAGATTATATAGTGGATTTGTACAATAGTGCCTTGTTATATATGAATAAAGTGTCGTTGTCGACACTGGAATTTGAACACAGATCACCAGAGAGCAAACACAGGCGACCCCATTTTGAATAAGTAGAATCAGGTCGTATGAACATATTTGTTCTGGCTTTTGTAGTGGACGAAATAAAGGGTTCGATTCGAAATTTCAATCACCTGAAGAAGGCTGGAGCGTGCAATGGCCAAAACGTTGTGAATATGGCAATGGAGATGAGGATAACAGTCCGAATAATGTAAATAATGTAAGTATTAATAATTTATATTTCGATATTTATGGTCTGGAGTGCCTTATCTCGAGTGAGATGAAAATAATTGAAAAAAGATTCTTGTAACGGTTGGAACATCGAATGATCTTTTATATTCTGTACAAATGGATTTTTGGTAAATAAAAAGGTTTCTGAGAATATAATCATCATCACCAACATTATCCACATCATCACGTCATTTTTAGTTACTTGTAAAGTGTTAGACATTTTCATGACGGTCGTCCTCGAGTATAGAATCCAGAGGTTGGCAGTGAATATTTCGGAGACAGTAGGAAAGCGTAGTGGAGGTTCGCAGTGGATATCACAACAGAGTGTAGTTCATCCTTCTCCTGGTCGCCTTTGGTCCTTCCGGTAGACGAAACAAGATGGCCGCCTTTATACACGACGAATACAGTGTTGTGCGGCTTCGGATTGGTCAACCTTCCATTGGTCGACTATAAAGGGAAATAAGTCATTCTGACTCGCTCACTAGTTATATGTAATATACCCCAAAAACTGTAACATAAAGTTGGATTTATTTTTTTTAAAATGAGTGGTTAAAATGGATCAATTATGTAGCGATTTTTCTAAACCCGGCTTAGATGTGGCACAAGGCCGAAAGTATGTGGCGCCCAGTGAAGATCGAACTCACTACTCTGTCGTAATTGATCTAGCGAGACAAGCTTTATAACCATTACACCACGTCGAGGCACCCAACTTATTTTATGTAACCCGTGAAATCACGGGTACGATTTATTACACAAATTCGCCAAAATTTTATTCTATTTAATAATTACATATATTTCGATATAAGAAGTGTTGGCGTGGGCGTGATAGAATTGAAACAATTATCGGAGTTACATTTTTACTAACGACTTTTTTTGAACCTGATATCCGTAGGCAAGGTTTTGGATTTCCTTATCTTTTCTCTCTGACTTCATGCCAACTTTATCACAACCAAGTTTCGCTTTAACCGTTTTCGACACCCAGTCTCTGTGTCATGTACGAAAAATCAAGAAGAAAAGCGTTACTTACATTACAGAACAATGGTAAATTTATAAGAATAGACAAAAGAAATTCTAAGGATTTTCTGAATGAACTGATTTCATCTTAATGCAAGCGAGGATTGGACAGAAAGATCTTTAATTAGCAAGATTTAAGATGGATTTACGCTGCTGTTATCTGTTCGCAGTTTGTTCTGTCGACAGAATATAATATAGGTTATTATTATAATGTTCAATATTATAATTATTATATTATTATAATTCTTCTTGTCACCCTCTTAGCACGATCGTTACGCCTTGCCAATAGTTCATAAGTAATGGAATATTCTGTTTTGATTATGTGTAAAGACGGAAAAGACATATCAGAGACGCTTCTTGGTTTCATTGAAAAGAAAGAAGTGTTTATCGTCTCCTGCCACTACCTTACAAATAATGTATTATTTCTTTTTGATCGCGTAGAAAGACAGAAAAGATATATCAGTGACGCTTCTTGGTTTCACTGAGACAATCAAAGAAAGAAAAGAAAAGGAAGATAGAGAAGTTTAACGTCTGTTTCAGTGAAATAGAAAAAGTTGTCAATTTCAAATCTTTTCATTTGTATCCCCTTACTTCTTAAAATAACGACCAGCATTCATATTTATGATTGTCATTGCAATATTTTGTTAAAGTTGTTAAGCTCAAATATTTAACAAGTTAGGGAAATTTCTATGGATATTTTATTATCGTAGAACTCGCCATGTGTTTACTCAATCATTATCTTAAGAATTAAGATTCATCACAAAATGTCAATAGAAAAACCATGAAATTTTCACGAGTATGTCTAATAGTATTATTATTATATTATATATGTTAATGTTCTAAAGAATTAATACTTTCATTTTTAATCCGACATTTTATTACTACAAATATTATTATAACGGATACTCGTATTTGAAATAGATGCCCCATTTTATTTTAAACAGTGTGTATTCCATCTATCGGCCTGCGCATTCGAGAAATCGTAATAAAGAAAATTTGCTTTCCGCCAAGGATCGAACCCGCGTCTCCCTTTGCAGGAGAAAGCACAGTCTGATCCTGCGCGCTTTACCACTCGGCTACAGAAAGTTTTACAGTTCAGCAAGTTCAGAATTGTCTTTTCCTTTTCAAGGAAAAGACAATTCTTCATTCGGATATTTTTCTCGAAAGCCAATATCTGCTCAGTTTCGTATCCGAAACATAAGCAAAGTAATTTCTAAAGAATTCATGGATTTTTTTTTAATTCAATATTTTTATTATTTCAAACGTTATCATTAGTATATATTTGTGAATTTGAAATAGACGCGCCATTTTTTATCTTAAACAGCGTATATTACATCTATCAGTCTGAACATTCGAAAAATCTTAGTAAAGAGAATGCTGGAGAACACATTTCCTTTACGAATATTTCTCGAATGCGTAGGCCGATAAACGTAATGCACAGTGTTTAATAAATAAAAATGGTCCGCATTCGATTATAACAGTTTTTTTCCATCGATAGAATATAATTTATTATTATAATATACAATATTATAATTATATTATTGATAAAGATATAAGACAGTTAGGCAAGCTTATTTTCTCTTGTTTCACTGATCAAACTGTGTCATCGATAAATGGATTTTATTTCAGCCAACTCCACATTGGCGAGATTTTATTGAAATAAAAACCATTTTTCTCTGTTTGATCAGCGAAACATCTAAATATGAGTTCCCCAAATTGCTTTTATATATTTAACATTACGTCGAGAAGGAAGGCGATAACGCCACTAAACCGCAAGGGGCTATTAAAAGTGGAAAAGAACGAAAAGACTTTAAAAGGAACCGGAAGCCCAATTTTAATCAGGAAACAAGGGATAAACCTTTACAAGTCTAATATAGTCTGTTCAATTGATAGAATTTCAGGTTAACATGGTAGATTCTATCTCAATCCGAAATTAAACTCTTTACTGTAATATGTCCATTTTTAGGAAGTGGTTTGGGCCGATAACTATTCAGCACGCTTCGTAATATGTTCGAAAAGGCTGATTCAGCTTGAATGTCACACACACACACACACACACACACACACACACACACACACACACACACACACACACAACTTGACATGAAAACACTCCAACGAGTGCTCAGGATCGCCTCGTCAGTGATGTTATGATTTGGGGTCTTCCAACATCATACTTGTTCCCCCAAGAGACCCTACCGAAACAGTACTATTCCGGCAGGCGATCCTGAAGCAAAAAAAAAAAAAAAAACTACGCCAAGCACGCGTCAAATGGACTCGTTAAATAAATGCCACTGCTGACCAATCGTTAACGACTTACGTCACTTCCTCCTCAGCCAAAGACGATACAAAAAAAAGAAAAGACAGCATGCTCGTCTTTTCTCTTTGTTTTTTTCCATCTTAGGTTGACTTTATTAAATGTTAAAGAATATCTCCTCCTAAAACCTTTCCAAATGTTATAATAAATACATCACCACTTTTTGAAATAAGGTAAAAAACCACATCAACAAAAATTAAAACTGTTTTTATTGATTTAGTTGTTACAATGTCATTAGCCGTATTGGAGCAAATATGTTAGGCAAATCAATTAAGACATTCCAGCATTGAGTTATCTTCTCTTGTTGCGTGGGTTTTCAGTTTGAGAATTAAATGCGTCGTCAGTTATTAGCAAGGTTACCAGGTATTGCCCGATGTACACTGACACTTGGATAAATTCAATTTTTCACGTTAACTTTTTAATATACCTAAGCAAGAATTTGAAAAGCTATGACAGTGAAAAAAGTATTTATTTTAATAATGTAAAAAAAACATTGTTGATCTTCGCTTTTTTGTAGCATATTCGGTGATAATGGCTGAGATTCCATGAATTATGGTTAGCTGATAACTTTTTATACGAAAATCCTCATCATTACTGTTTTGATTATACACCGAACGAAGAATCTGCTTGTGGCGTAGAGAATCGGGGTTAGAGATTGATAGAATTGTCCTATCGT